TTTTCCTGTGGGAAAACAATGCATTGGTATCTTCTAACAGGCTGAAAAATATTATAAGTAGGCACTGTGAAAACAATTTTTTCTCTGTCCCTTTCTTGTAAAGGTATAGTGAAGAAACAACTTCTTAAATCAATGACTATAGGAAGCCATCCTTTAGGTAACAGGGAAAGCAAAAGAATTCCAGATTGTAGAGGACCCACAAATTAAATTACCTTGTTTTTTTCTTTGACCTTGTTTGACCCTATTGTGTGATTCAGTTGTTTTTCCTATTCTTGAATCGTGTCCCAAGCATTTATAGCTGCTGTGTGTCACAGGGACAAGATGTGTTCATCATAAAGAACTTGATCGTGTTGCTCAGCATAAGTGCCCTTGCCAGAATTTGACCTTGAGGTACCTCAAATCCTTTTGCTTTTCCCTGTTATTCTTAAATTTTTGCCTCTTCTTAATAGTAGCATTTCCACTGCAGTTGCTGCCCATCTTCCAGGACCACTGAAACTAATTGAAGCCAGTTGTGTGGGGTAGCCTTATTGCTGAAAACCCATATCTTTACCATCTCCCGTAGCTAATGGCGAATGCAAACCATAAGACACTTCTGCTTCCTTCATTTTTTTTTTTAGATCATTCATACCTATAGGTTTCCATCTACATTCTTTGGATCTTCTTGAGTATTTAGTACTTGGCAGTTTGTCAGAGGTGTTTATGGTGTAAGTAGCTAAAAGTCTTGGTAAGTCATCTCTGACAAGTACTAGCATTTTAAAATCCTTTCCTTGTACCTTCTCAACCTGCTCATCAGTTCTGATAATTTCCTCAATCACTTCAAATCTTTTTACCACTGTCTTTTGCAAAGCCTAGATCTCTTACCCTATGAATATTTCTAATGATTTCATTGACTCACCTAACCTCTGGTCCTCATTCTACACATATGACTTCAAGGTATGGAATTTTTTTTCATTAAGGATAACTTTTCATCCTTGGATATCTTAAAGGTTCGTACAGCAGGTGGATTTCTGGGCAGAATGGGCCTTGTTGCTTACAGTGCCAACCTATGGTGGGTTGGAGCAGCCTACCTGCAGGAAGCTTGCTAGCTCACTGGCTAATGAAGCTGAGGCAGATGGGGAAGCGGCTCCTGTATTTTGTTCGTGTACTGAGGGCCTAGACAGTAGGTTGCCAAGCTGGCTGTCTGTTCACTCACCTTTTGGTTTGCCTCATATTCTTTCTTAATTTCTTTCTTAATCCATTTTTTTTTCAGCAGTGAGTTGTTCAGTGTCCATGATTTTATAAGCTTTTTGTTATATCTGTTTCTGTTGAAATATAACTTTATTTCATGCTGGTTAGATAGGATGCAGAATGTTATTTCAATTTCTTGAATCTGTTAAGTCTTGTTTATGTCTAAGAATGTACTTAGTTTTTGAGACTGTCCCATGAATTGCTGAGAAAAAGTATATTCTTTTGTGTTTGGGCAAAATATTCTATAAATAATTGTTAGGTTCATTTGGTTCATAACTATGCTGCAGCATTTCTCTGTTTAGCTTTTGTCTCGGCAACCTGTCTGTTAGAAAGAGTAGGGTACTAAAGTCTTGCAGTATCAGTGTTTGATGTCAATGGTATTTAAGCTGTAGTGGTATTTGTTTTATGAACTTGGGACCGCTTATGTCGGGTACATCATATTTAAGAATTGCCATGTCCTTTTGGTGATTTTTTTTCTTTAATGGATATGTAGGGTCCTTCCCTATTTATTGTGATTAATTTTTGTTTAAAGCCTATTTTGTCAGATATTAAAATGGCTACACCATTTTTCTTAGTTCAATTTGGTTGGAAAATATTTTTTTCCATTTTTTTACTTTGAGGTGATGTCTATAGTTGGTGGTAAACTGTTTTTCTAGGATATAGCAGAAAATGGATACTGTTTGTCATCCATTCTTTTTTTTTTAAATTAATTTATTTATTTATTAAAGATTTCTGTCTCTTCCCCGCCACCGCCTCCCATTTCCCTCCCCCTCCCCCAATTAAGTCCCCCCCACTCAGCCCGAAAAGCAATCAGGGTTCCCTGTCCTGTGGGAAGTCCAAGGAACCCCCACCTCCATCCAGGTCTAGTAAGTTGAGCATCCAAACTGCCTAGGCTCCTACAAAGCCAGTGCGTGCGGTAGGATCAAAAACCCATTGCCATTGTTCTTGAGTTCTCAGTAGTCCACATTGTCTGCTATGTTCAGAGAGTCCGGTTTTATCCCAGGCTTCTCCAGACCCAGTCCAGCTGGTCTTTGTGAGTTCCCAGTAGAACATCCCCATTGTCTCAGTGTGTGGGTGCACCCCTCGCGGTCCTGAGTTCCTTGCTCGTGCTCTCTCTCCTTCTGCTCCTGATTTGGACCTTGAGATTTCAGTCCTGTGCTCCAATGTGGGTCTCTGTCTCTGTCTCCTTTCATCGCTTACTGAAGGTTAATATTCAGGAGGATGCCTATGTGTTTTTGTTTGGGTTCTCCTTATTTAGTTTCTCTAGGATCACTAATTATGGGCTCAATGTCTTTGGTTTATGGCTAGAAACCAAATATGAGTGAGTACATCCCATGTTCCTTTTTTTGGGTCTGGCTTACCTCACTCAGGATAGTGTTTTCTATTTCCATCCATTTGTATGCAAAATTCAAGAAGTCCTTGTTTCTTACTACTGAGTAGTACTCTAATATGTATATATTCCATACTTTCTTCATCCATTCTTCCATTGAAGGGCATCTAGGTTGTTTCCAGGTTCTGGCTATCACAAACAATGCTGCTATGAACATCGTAGAGCATATACTTTTGTTGTATGATAAGGCCTCTCTTGGATATATTCCCAAGAGTGGTATTGCTGGGTCCAGGGGTAAGTTGATCCATTCTTTTAATCTGTCTTTTTGTTGGAGAATTGATACCATTGATATGGAGTTTCATCAATGAACAGTGGTTGTTGATTTCCATAATTTTTGTTGTATGGTGCGTGTGTGCTTTTCTTCTTTTGTTTTTTTTTTTTTTTTTTTTTTGTTTTTTGTTTTTTGAGACAGGGTTTCTCTGTGGTTTTGGAGCCTGTCCTGGAACTAGCTCTTGTAGACCAGGCTGGTCTCGAACTCACACAGATCCGCCTGCCTCTTCTTTTGATTTGCTTGTCTGGGATTATTTATTCCTTGTGCTTTCTTGGGTGTGGCTAACCTCCTCAGGTTGAGGTTTACCTTCTAGTGCCTTCTGTAGGACTGGGTTTGTAGCTAGATATTGCTTAACTTTGGTTTTAATATGGGTTGTTTTATTTTCTTTACCTATTGTGATTGAAAGTTTTGTTGGTTATAGTAGTCTGAACTGGAATATGTAATCTCTTAAGAGTCTGTAGTACATCTTTCCAAGCCCTTCAGTTTTTAAGAGTCTCTATTGAGAAGTAATATGTAATTCTAATAGTTCTGACTTTTTCTGTTAAGTGGTATTTTCCTCTTGCAGCTTTTAATATTCTTTCTTTTTGAATGAGCAAAAGTGAATATCTATAAAAAGAGATTACCATGTGGAGGGTATATACATTTGTACCAGGAAGGTATAGCAGGCTAGATTCAAGGGGCATTCTTATGGAGTAGACACCCTTCAAGTGGTAATATCTCTAGTTTAGAAAGGAGTTAAATGGAAGTGGACTCTAGTATTTGGAATCAAATTTGGTGGGAGGCAGAAGCTAGAGAAACTAATAATCTATGCATATTTAGGAGCATCAAATCAGCAGTGTGGCTTAGAGCAGCTGAGTTCCTTGGAAGGGAATTCATTTATGAGATTTGTATGGTTTTAGCATCACGTGAATGAAAAAATTGAGGACCTGACTGCCACTAGGTATGGGTGATGAGAAGGTTTATGGTAATATGAAGAAGAGATGCTGCATCTGGAAGGGTCTAGACTGAACCAGGCCATGTGGTGAGGGACAGAAGAAGAGCAAGAAAGGAAAAGCAGAGAAATGGAACAAAGAAAGTACTTGGGAATTCAGAGACCAAGAGACCAAAGAGACTGAGTGACATAAATGGCTGGCTTATACAGGGAAGAGAAGCTTGGGAAAGGGAAGCCTCATGAGCTGGAGTGTTTTGGGTAGGGGCCAGGGTATACTGACCATAACAATTCTGTAACATAGGCAACGCTTTCACAGAGAACTCTCATTCTCAGCTCAAGTGTATCCAGAGGATAACCTAACTCATGGAGTCTCTCTCAGGTGTGTCCAGAAGTTGACCTAATCCATGGAATCTCTTTTAGTTATTACCAGAGGTTGTCCTAACCCATGGAGTCTCTCTTGTGTGTCCAGAGGATGACTTAATCTATAGAGTCTCTCTCATGTGTGTCCAGAGGTTGACCTAATCCATGCTATCTCTCTCATGTGTGTCCAGAAGATGACCTAACCCACGAAATCTCTCTAGGTGTGACCAGAGGCTAACCTAATCTATGGATTCTCTCTCATGTGTGCCCAGAGGTTGACCTCATCCATGGTATCTCTCTCATGTGTTTCCAGAAGATGACCTAATCCATGGAGTCTCTCCCAGGTGTGCCCAGAGGATGACCTTATCCATGAAGTCTTTCGGGTGTATCCAGAGATTTGCCTCTAGGTGATTCTAGGCACTATGTATTTTACAATCAAAATTAACCAACACATTGGTCATCAAAATTTATAAACTTCAGACCCAAAATCTTTAAGGTGTAATGGTTTTAATTAGATGCCCATCCCCTCCCCCCACTGACTGGGGCTTTTGAATAACTGGTCCCTAGTTGAGGAGACTATTTGGGTAGATTTTGGAAGGTGGCCTTGCTGGAGGAAGTATGTCTCTAAGTAAGATTTGGGTAGTCTTTAGTTTTGCTTATTCAGCTTCAAGGTTGCAGTTCAAGATGCAAGTGTTCTACTACAGAGGTCATGCCTGCCACATGCCTGCTGCTTCCCCTACTGTCATGGTAATAGACTCTTATTGCTTTGGAACAAAAAGCACAAATAAACTATTTCTTCAATAAATTGCCTTGTTTTTTGTGATTAATCACAGAAACTGAAAAGACTAACACACTATTAACACACTATTAGATTAACAGTTGGCTATTTTGGTCATATTTATCAATTACTGGTACCAAATTAGAAATCAAACCCAGGTATACAAATAGAGGTATTTATACATATACATATACACATATATGTGTGTATGTATGTATATATATGCTAAATATCAATCTTTGCTGCCTAAAGACGACTCTATAGCAATATAACACACTGACAATACAAATGGCAATGTATTTCCAAAGTGATAAAAATAGTTTTAAATACTAATGAAGCATCCCATTTTAGCTATATTTTCTCAGTTTTTATTTAGAAAGCTCAGTAAAACAGGCATCACAGTTTAGAAATATTTTAATCTCACTGTAATTCAACATTTAAAAAGTTACTCATTTCTGATTTTCAACAATGAAATTTATAAAAATAATTTTGCATTTATAAAATGAATTGTTATCTCACAATAAATTATTTATATCTGTCACCTGAAAAAGTGTATTTTATAAAAGCAATGACTTTTCTTAACAATATCATGATAATACATTGAAAACATCAGTTCTTCTTTGTCCACCATTTCTGGCAGCTTGATGTATAAAAATACTATATTACAAATTCCCTGACAATAGTTATCAAAACAAAGTTATTAGCAATAGTTTTTTAAACATAACTTTTTCATAAATTTTTATGAACACATTATTCACCAAAATATAAATTTTATATTCTGTGTTTTTAGATGATTTGCCATGGTCTGAATGCCCAAATGCCTCCTCACTTATGTTGCTACACAGTCAAAAATATGCTATGCAGAGATGGGGATACTGGAAGGTAAAGAGGTCACGAGGGCTGAGCCTGCATGAGGGAGAATGGTATTCTTACAAAAGTGGTCCCTGAGAGTTGTTTCACAAATAGCCATCTATAGATCAGAGAGAGAATCTGATAATTCTTTGCTTATGGGCTTCCTAACATGGACAGCAATGAGAAATAAATTTTTGTTGTTTACTTTTCCCAGTATATCGTATTTTCTTATAGTGGCCCAGGTAGACTAGTTTTTTATTTTAGGAGAGTAACATTAAAGAAGGAAACAAAACCTACAAATGATATTTATACTCATGAGATTTAGTTACTTGCTTGTTTCATGGAACAAGAGTAAATTTTCAAAATATTAAGAATTAAGGAACCCCTCTTTCTCTTTGCCTTCCCCCTCACTCACTCAATGTTATATTTTAGTTTACAAGGGTAGTTGCAATTGAAGAAATACAGGTGATTCTATGAAAGTGCTGATAGCTGTCAGACTACTTCACTTTTAGAGCCGAGTTAGTTCATATGAAAATGGTCTTTGTACCACTAGGAAGGTGGAAACAATGACTCATAGTCTGAGAACCTGGGAAGGTCCCTGGAAAACCTTAACCCAAAATCTTACAACTTTGGATGCTTTTTAACTTTTGATATATATTCGATTTTATATACTTATATAATAATATTTATATTTATGTATTCAACCATTTTCACTACTTCTGTAAATATAAAAAGGAAAGAACAAGAAAGGCTGGGAGAAGGAGAGCAAGTACACACAGAGGTAGGGCTATTACTGCTTCATAAGGTGTCCTATAATTAATGCCTTGAAAATAAATTCCAGATGTAGGTACTACATCAACTAGTTGGGGCTACTTTTTAGTCAATAATTAGATGTTCAGTATATTCCTATGCTGCAAATTTCCCTAAGTAATCAAAACCAATCTTGTGTACTTTTATGTTCTTTAGTTTTATAGGGAAAGATGTGAGGATTGCAAAAGGTATAAAACTGATCTCTTATCCTCATTGCAAATATTGTAAGCAGTTGTGTACTTATTACCTTCATTCATGAGCACCATGGCAAATAATATTCCATTGTCAGCCTGGATATATTTTAAAAACCACATCCTTACCCAATCTCATTAAAACCAACCAGATCTGGGTTTGCACAAATGTGTTCAAAGACATGTTCTCCGGTGTCCTTTCTCCCAGAGTTGTATAACCTGAGCTGACACAGGTTCACATAGAAAGACTTTCCTGGTTTCCCAGAGAGCTGGTGTGGGGATGCGCCGAAGTCTAATGAATGAGTGACTTTCCTATTTCCTAAGAGTGAGACATGAATGCCCGTCTATATTGAGCCATTGCTTGGCATGACTTTGTTTTACTATGGCTTGTATCATCACTAAAAGAAGTAACATGCCTTCCCTTAGCAGACCTCTTCAAATTTAGTCACATTGCAAAGTATATCCAGTCATCCTTAAAATGGCGTTAGTTCTCTGAAGTTAACACAGAAACATTTGCTGTAGGTAGCAGAAGGCCCCAACTATTATCTTTTCGAGAAATGCTCTAGTCTACAGCTACCACTCACCTTCTCTAATCTTCAAGTTTACAATTTATTTTTTAAAATAATTGGTTTATTTTTATATTACCTAGTGTTGCTGATCTACTTTTAACCAATAAGAACATTTAATTCTGCACCACATTACAACAAAGCAATTATTTACAGATTTAAATTAATATTATGAAAAAAAAAAGAAAGAAAGCCATACATAAGATCCCAGTAGTGTGGGCACAGTGCAGGAATAGTTGGAAACAATACACTATAAAAAAAAAAAAAACCTTCAAATTCAAATATACAGAGGTTGCATGTGAAAGCTTTCCTTTACAGCAACAATAAGCATAATGTGGTTACAAACAAGAAAATAGGATACCACCTTACAACAGCACCATGGAGAAGCAAGCCTTGCCTAAAAGTTGGCAAAAGTACCATCCTGAGACATTTCAAGAGCAATGGGTTTCACATTTACACAGTACCATTCAGAAGCGAGCACCTTCTCACAACTGCTTTTGTTTAGAGAGGGACTGGTGTGAAATGACAGATGCCTGATTCGCAGTGATTTTGTACTGTTCTTGACCAGAGCCCTGGGGTGGGGAAGGGAGTGGGGTTTCCGGAGTTGCTGAAAAGGAAACACAAAATAGTGTATGTTAGCCATCTCTCTGCCGCACCGCACAAGGTCCTACAGAATGTCAATAGGCATTAGTATATTTAGAGAAAAGGTCACATTGCTGTTTAGAATGAATTATCAGGCCCCTGACACACTAATGGTGAGATGCTCTTCCTCTCTTCCCACATAGAGTTAAACAATGAGAGACGATCATGCTAAGCAATCTGTTCTCACTTCAAAATGTTCCTGGCTTTCATATGTTCTCCTATACACCCAGAAGAAAGAAGTTACTAAAGACAATTATTAGAATGTTGATTTATCCCAAATATTAGAAAGAGCAATCTTCATAACATCTCTAGTCAAAATATGTATAAAATGAACATATATGTGGCTTGCATTCTATACATTTTAAATGATCTAAAAATTAAAGTTCAGTTGCTTTACAAGAGTTTTGAAATCTAAGCCACAGCCCATAACCTCTGGAGCATGCTAGTTTGTTGCTATACAATCCTATTACAATTGAGCTGGCCTGCTCCTTCCCCTTCAATGCTAAGAGCAAACCTGCATAATCGAATAGAAAGTAATTGAATATAAAAAATTGAATTGAAAATTTTTTTGAAGTGTAGTTTGAATACTTTATTGAGTAGGAATATATTTCTTCCTATTGTGGAATTTGAGTATATTGTAAAATAAAATCTATAATATCCTTTAACTTTAAAAAACAAAATATTTGATATAACTAATATTAAATGTTTACTCATATTATAAACGTCATAGATTTTTCAGTTTTTAAAGAATGCATATAAAAACAAGAACAATCTCCTCATGGCTGCTGTTCTTTAATACCTTATATTATTGCTAAGTATGGATTAGCAATTACTTCAAAAATCTTTCCCGAGACAGGGTTTCTCTGTAGCTTTGGAACCTATCCTGAAACTAGCTCTTGTTGACCAGGCTGACCTTGAACTCACAGAGATCCAACTGTCTCTGCCTCCCAAGTGCTAGGAATAAAGGCGTGTGCCACCACCACCCCGCAAAAAGCAGCACTTATTTTTTTTTAATTTTTATTAAGCTCTACATTTTTCTCTGCTCCCCCCCTCCCTCTCTCTCCCCTTCAACCATCTCCTAAGGTCCTCATGCTCCCAATTTACTCTAGAGATCTTGTCTTTTTCTACTTCCCATGTAGATTAGATCTATGTATGTCTCTCTGTAATGTGGCTTGTTTGAATAGAAATACAGAAAATTTCTACTCAAATTATTTCTTGATAAATAGAGCAGTTTTAAATTTTAGGGATCTTCTATAAAGATCAAAGAACCACTGATTTCTTTTAGCTGATGCTTAACGTCTCACTTTGCATAAAATACAAACAGTTCCACGTGAGCACGAGCAAGCTCAAGTTTTCCTTTACAAGCCAGTCAAGTGGAACTCCAAACATGTGAAACTACATGGGCCATGTGGGTGCACCAAAATTATAAATAGTTATTAAAGACTACTTTATGTTCAGTAGGCAATGCAAATGTGCATAAAATTCTATCACTATAACAAAAGCCAGTGAAGTGCATTACCTGGTTTGATATCAAAAGAAAACAGATGAAAAGTAAAATTTTGATTAATAGGTACAGATTCATAAGTACCGTTTTATGTTTTGATATGAGGCATTTCTCTCAGACCACATATGAATGGCTTAGCCTCAAATTGGTGGTGCCTTGGAAGTGGTGGAAACTTCAGCTGGAAGTAGATCTTTGGGGAATGCCTCTGGAAAGTGGTTTGTGCATGCCCCAATCCTCTCTCTAATTCTCTGCTTCTTGGCTGCCTTGAAAGGAGAAGTTTTTCTGCACTAAGCCCTGTCTAAAGTTGTCTGGTCATTCTCCCTGCAGTGGGCGGAATGTAGCAAGCACATTATGAAAGCACTGAAACCAGGTACCAAAACCAATATTTTCTGGTGAGTAGTCGGTCCCTCTTAGTTCCCGCCATAGTGATGAACATTGATTCACAGATGATTAACCAATCAATCTAGATACCATGTTAAATAGAATCTTTATCCCCAGAGTAACGTTAAAAAGTCAAACCTGCATTAAACCTACACCAATGAGTGGTTAACATGGCCACCAACAACTTATAACACTTAACAGTTTTTTAAATTCTAAAGATTTAAATTCTTAAGTAGCCACATTTTGCACAATTATTATTTGTTGTAATTGTAGTTACCATAGCTTAGTGAAAATGCACTAATCTTTTAACAACATGGTTTAAAATCCAGTTACCATGGTAACGTACAATTACTCACGAATACCTGCGTAAACAAAACTTAGTCTCAATCTTCCATCTAGAAACCACTTCCTAAATAACAGATGCCATTTTGATCAGTCACTGATCACAATGCATCTCTGTCTGCGATAGGCCACTGACATCTTTTGTTTAGCTTAGGCAAAGACACAGCATGTAGTTGTCTTCTTTCTTGTCATCACAATAATGATCTCTGGTAACCAGTTAGGAAACTGGATAATTGAAAGAACTGACCAACAGCATTGATAAGCAACAAAGAAATAAAAACAATAACGCTGGAAATTGAAATTCAAGTCTACGCGGGATAGCAGAAACAGCTCTGCAGATATTACTGCTTTTTAAGGCTAGAAACATGCATCCAGGAACTTAGGAAGGAATACATGTCTGTGTAAGGGAGAGAAACTTTGATTAAAAAAAAAAAGCAATGGAAGTGAAATCAACAAAGGAAAAAAAGTCCTAATGAACAAATTTGCACAGTTACATCGGGACATTGAACCTGGAAAAGGTAAGATGCGGAAAATTGGTTCAAGCTTCTGAAGGGGTAAAACTGACCACCATTCACGCAAAATGTTTCCTTTCTGTCAGGACATAGTCCAGGATGGGAGTCCTATGAGGAGAACCCTGAGCGACTGTGAGAACACTCAAGAAAACAATACAAGAGTCTTGTGACTTCAGCTTCTTCAAAACAAGCAATTGTTTTTAGAATGTGTTTTGTGCTCTTCTGGGTGGAAAAGATGGGAATGAATTTATTTCGGGGTACTCATTATTGCTTGTTATTGTTATTCAATTCAATATTTAAACTTTTATTCTTTGTATGGAAAAATGTGTTTTTGCCACATGTGTCTTGTCCTTGTGATTGTATCAGTTCGAACTCAGGAGAACTTTACTTAGGTGACCTTTCTTAACCCTCACAGTATAAATTGTCCCAGACTTTGTGTAAAGTTGGCTATTACATACTTTAATTCACCTCACTTATAGGCTCCATTCTCCCTGATCCCACAAACCCTAGAAAGGTGAGTCCTTCAAAAGTGGTAAGGCAGCAAGGAACACTCAAACTAGTCTGTTATGTTTTTAACAACAAAACTATATGGTGTTACTTCTCACTGTTTCTGATCCCTTATATCACGTTTATTTTTTCAAATTCTTAATCCGTTTTCTATCTGTAGTGAAGAGCTTTTGGTATTTTATCAGTTTTACAGGTCATGAGCAACCATAATGTTGATTACAATTTGTTGGTTTAGTTTCCATTTAATGGCTGTTTGTATGGCTCTATACCAACATCAAGGCAGACACTATCTGTATATTTTATGTTGCCCAGACTTATAGAATAGAAAAAATTTAAGTTTTTACATCTTCAGTTTGGGATTCGAACTCATACCTTGAGAGAGTAAGTAATGACCTGAGTATTTAAGTCTCATATATCTAACTACGGTGGAGGAAATCCCATCTAAGATCTGCAGTTACTGGGAACTGAGAGTTTCCTATCCTAAGTTATAATTTTCCCAAATAACTAAAGTTAAGAGATGTTACAGATGGGGTTTCTTCAGATACTTACAGATTTGGTCTGTATGAACCAATGTGGACATGGGACCTAAAAGTATCGTTTGCCCAGTTAGTGGATCCTGAGACAAATGGGGGTGCATTGGGTGATGGAGATGGCTTCCATCATTGGCAGCACCTACGAAAGACATGAAAAGGCTTGCATTAGTGACATTTACTGTGGCTTCACCTTGATGCATGTTTCCAATGATCATTTAAATGCTACGATTTACAAAGTACATTTGGAAAAATTCAGAAACAAATGTAGAGCGCTACCCCCATGTTAAAGACAATGTCCGCTTTCATGGTGCGTTGGAGAAATAAATGCTATATCATAATATTGAGTATTAATAATGGACCTTGTGTGCTGTTTCCTGGAATCATTAGGTTTCCTGCCTGTTGTTAAAGCAATTCCAAGAATCACTTACCTCAAGTTTATAGTATTTGGATTCACCCTAATGGCATGAACAACTTTTATTTCAGAAAGATAACATTAGGAACACATTAAGTACCAGAAAACTAAAAATAGATATAGTGACTTTCCAAGGAAATTTAATCTAAATCAGAACATAAAATAATGATTCCTTAACTTATTCCTGACATTTATTGCAACCCTGAAGTAGCATTTTCTTCTTCTACGAGTTTATGTCAGTTAATTCCTTCAGGGGCAAAGTGTTCATTTTTCAGTCATTTGATTCGTATATGGGTTAAGCAGCAATTTCTTTGTTTTTAGACTTTTAAGGAAGTGAAAGTCAAAAGAATCCATACTTCTCAAAGCCCTCAAAGCGAGGAATGCATTCTAGTGAGCACACATGGAAGAGTCTGGGGATTGAAGTCAGAGGCCAGTCCCACAAGCGATGCTAAGGGCTAGGAAGAACTGGCATTGTAATCTATTCAAGATCCTTTGTCTCCCTCACATAGTGTAGACTCTCTATGTGTAGCAAACTAGATTTTGTATGCCCTGTTAGAAGACCAACAACAGGGAGGAATGGGAACCTCAAACTAATGAAGTAACTATAGGCCAAAGGAAATAAAGGGGGACCCTCCCTTGCGCATGGGCAGTAAAGCTAAGCGATAAGGAAGTGCGGAAGTGCACTTACCGCCCAGCAACATCTCCTGGAGGAGGTTGTCAATTTTGACCATGCCGAACAGTTTGACAAACTGAATTTGCTCGATCATCTGCCAGGTGATGCTCTGCAGGGTGGGCAACAGCAAGAGCAGCTCCCCAAACCTGCCCCGGGAGTCATACTGCCTGTCGTTGATGTAGTCCTCCAGGCTGATCTGGACCTGGAACCGCATGTTCTTAATCTTCACGGGGTCGCTCAGGCCCTTTGCATCTGGTGAGGGAACAGACACAGGCACGCTTAGGAGGCCAGCAGATGGAAGACTCTATAAGGTGGGGAAGGATCGTTTAAGTATCACGCTATTAATTTTCACAGTTTTGAAAACACACCTGGGTCAAAGAACACAATGGCCTTCAAACAGGCATACTCATTGTCATCTATCTGGATCTCTTGGAATGGTCTAACCAGCTCATCGAGGACTCGGTTAGCCACACGGCTGACTTCGACTTCACAGCTGTTACGGTGAATGACATAGTTGTTTCCTGGAAGAAAATAAAGAATTAACCACTGTCTCTACTGGACTGTTGTGATGGAGGAAGGTCATTGGTTAATTAAAAAAGAAACTGCTTGGCCTTGATGTATTAGAACATAGGTGGGTGGAGTAAACAGAACAGAATGCTGGGAGGAAGAGGAAGTGAGCTCAGATGCCAGGCCGCTGCTCTCTGGGGCAGACACAATGAAGCTCTGACCCAGGATGGACATAGGCTAGAATCTTCCCGGTAAGCGCACCTTGGGGTGTTACACACATTATTAGAAATGGGCTAGTCCAAGGTGCAAGAGTTAGCTGAGAAGAGGCTAAATATAATGGGCCAAGCAGTGTTTAAAAGAATACAATTTGTGTGTTGTTATTTCGGGGCATAAGCTAACCAGGCAGCTGGGAGCTGGGTGGCAGGAAAGCAGCCCGCAGCTCCTTCAACACTGTTGGACGCCGTTTGCCTTTTTGTGTATTGGTGTTCAAAATGGTGTCCTGCGGCATGGACTGTGTTAGGTATTGCACCTTCCCATGGCACTGAATTGTCAGGCAAGAACATCAGAACACTCAGAGAGAATCGATAACGATAATGTACCCGTGTGCGTTTTAACAGCCTCCGTCACTGGTGATAACAAAAAGTACAGACTCATAACCAGCTAATAATTGACAGGGGCGAATCGACCGGTAATGATTAGCCTTCCTCTGTGTCAGGCCTCCATTAGTGCCTCGCTCCTTAACGAGCTGAACACAAATCCTAAAGAATCCTTGCTAACAGTGGATTAAAGCCAGCATGCTTTGGTGCTCTTAGAGTAAGAACAGATCAGATGCAGTTTAAACAAGCTTAAGCTTGGGAGAAGAATTAGCATGGGCGTTGTCACGAGTTGCCTCACAGATAGTATACTCCATTTTTCGGGTTTGTTCTTTTATGTGTGTGTGTAAGGGGAGGCAGGTCTGCAATACATTCAGCCTATGCACAGAAGTCAGAGGACACCCTCACTTTGCACATCGTTTAATCTAGTGTATCTTTGTTGCTCCGTGTTGTATGCTCGGCTAGTGGGCCCGTGAGTATTCCAGGAACCTCCCTCATTTGCCTGCCCTCCCCAATAGAAGTCCTGGGCCTACAGATGCATGTTATAGCACCTGATGTTTCACAAGTCTTGGAGATTTGTACTCAGTTCTTCACAATTATGTGGAAAGGACTTGACCCCCTCAGCCATCACCCCAGGCTCTTCTTCCTTATTGTGCCACCTGATTTTAATTTCAATTTGACTCAGGCTAGAGTTAACTGAGCAGAAGGAACCTCAATTGAAAAACACCTCCATAAGATCTAGCTGTAGGCAAACCCATTGGGTATTTTAGTGATTAAAATGGGAGGTGCCATTCGTGAACTGGTGGTTGGGTTCTATAACAGAGCAGGCTGAGCAAGCCATGAGAAGCGCGTCAATAGGCAGCATCCCTCCATGGCCTCTGCATCCGCTCCTGCATCTAGGCCCCTGCTCTGCTTGAGCTCCTGCCCTGACATCCTTCAGTGACACAGGAAGTCATGTGGAAGTGAAGGCAAAGTACACGCTTCCCTCCTCAAGTAGCTTCTGGTCCGTGTTATCACAGTAATAGAAATCCTATCTAAGACACTTAGTTTCTTTACATAGAGGTGACTTGGCCAATTTATTGAACTGAGTTCAAGGGAGTTCGGAAATGTGATAGAGCAGAACAGCTAACCCTCCAAATCTTTCTATCTTAGACATTCTCTGGGTATAATGTGGTAAATATTTATCACAATTTTAAAAATAAACATATCCTGGTACTATATTAAAAGATATATTTTTAATTATCCCACTGTAGGTAAAGGTGACTATTATTGTTTGGATCTTGAATATCTCCCAAAGGCTTATACATTGAATTTTTAAACTGCAATTTACAGCATCACTGGGAAAGAGTAAAGCCTTTAAAACTGAGGCCCTCAGGGAAGGGAAGGGGTTAGTTCACTGAAGATATGCCCTTTTTTAATTTGATTTTTTCCCCTGCACAGGTATTTGGTGTCCATGTCTATCTGTGCAGCACATATGTGCTGAGTACCCACAGAAGCTGGAAAGGGTTGTCAGATCACCTTGAACAGACAGCTGTGAGCTACCTTGTGGGTACCAGGAATCAAACCCTGGTCCTCTGGAAGAACAGTTAATGCTCAACCCCTGAGTCATCTCTCCAGTCCTCAAGGTGTCCTTTTCAAGGGAGTATATGTACACTATATTTCTCTCTCTTTTTAACATGAACAGTGTCCTCTGCAGAATACACCTTCCAGTGTTCTGTGCTGTCCCCTGTCTAGAGCAATAGGGTCAAGCACCTATAAACAGAAACCTCTGAAACTGGGAGCCACATAAACTTTTCACCTTGTATGGTTGGGTTTTGGAGACAGGGCTTTTCTGGGTAGTGTGACCATCCTGGAACTTGTTCTGGAGACCGTGCTGGCCTTGAACTCAAAATTGTGCCTGCCTCTACCTCCTGAGTGCTGGGGTTAAAGATGTGAGCCACCAATACCTGGCTTCACCATTCCTCCTTTTAAGTTGATTGTTTCAGGTATTTTTCCAATGTTCTGTATGTCCCAAAGTATCCAAACACTGAAGTGCCAACCTATCTCACAGATCCAATGTCAGCTTCTTGATGTGTCAGGGACTAAAATATCGTATATATTTAAAGTGTGCAAATGTAATGCTCGTATATACACATACACGGAAAGAGAGATGATTACCACAGCCACACAAACTGAACATACCTATCATTGTATATAGTTATCTTTATGAGTATTCTATTCTGTCATGTGAAAAGAGTTGAACTAGTTATTAATGAAAAATGAGGTATAGCATGCTTGTTTTCCAGGTTATATTATAAAAAGATTTACAGAAAGAACAGAATTCACAGTGTCTGGTAGAAATGCAGCCAACATGTTTAGCTGAGGTCCACGGCACATTCTGTTGTCCCTATTATGGTTTAGAATTCTAGGTCTTGGCTGACTGACTTTCCATCATGATCAAAACATTCTCTTCCTCTATTCCTTCATTGCAAAATAGGCATGATAGCAGGGTTTACCACCTTCAGTGAATAAACGAGAGAGTGTATGTTAGCACAATGCACTTAAAGCAGAGCATTTAATAAGTGTATATGTTCAATAAATACTTAGCACTCTTACATCGTGTCCCATTTGTTTACATTTGGGACTTAAATGTCACTTCGAAGCTAAACTTTTCAGTTAACAGGACAGGACGGAGACAATCTTCAGGGAGAACGCCGGGTCTTCTTGTGTCTTTTCGACCTACTTACTCTTTTCTACTGTTTTTTTTTTTTTTTTTTTTTTTTACAGTTTTTTGAGACAGTGTTTCTCCGTGTAACAGCCCTGGCTGTCCTGGAATTAGCTCTGTAGACCAGTCTGACCTCAAACTCACACTCTGACTCCCTAGTGCTGGGATTAAAGGCATGCACCACCACTGCCCAACCTCTGTTCTACTTTTGCTTATTCTTACAATTCTACCTACCAGTAGTTTTCAGACATTGCCCGCCCTTTCTAATACAATTAGTTTATAGTGTATTGGGAACAACAAGATCATAGGAAAGAAACATGCTCCTTAAAAGAGTATAAACTAGCCTCCTAAGCAGTCTCTGATAGAGCATGAAAGGACGTGGGATTCAATAATTGGACATTTAAATAGTTATTTCTTAAACAAGTCACCATCAAGATTATGGAGCAAAATCTCTATCACATTTTGCAATTTCAATGTCTCCCCATCATTTCACAGTATTCTGAACTTACATTCAATCAAAACAAAGAGATGTAGGGCCAGCAAGACTGCCCAGTGAGTAAAAATGGCTTCATCCAAGCGGGAGGACCTGATTCCATTTCAGGGATACACAGAATTGTTCTCTGGTGGCCCAAGGTACCACACACACACACACACACACACATACACACACACACACATAAACACACACACACACATAAACACACACACACACATAAACACACACACACACATAAACACACACACACACACATACAAACACACACAAGCACGAGCACATATGCACACATATCACACCTCACACTAGAGCTGAGGGAGGACAGAAGAAACAGCACACACTTCGAAAACAGAGCACCACTGTGTGCTTTGTACATGCAGAAGAGAGCCCATATATCATATCTAGAAAATAAGCATAATTTCTTCTTTAAAAAAAATCTTACCCAAAAGCAAAACATCTTTATACATCATGGATCTCTTTGTAGCTCCAAGCAGTAAGTGTTCTCCTGCGTGAGCTCTCAACAGGGCCACCTTAAAGGAAGTTTTGAAGTTTAACAATTAATTATAAAATATAATGATTAAAAGGCAGTACAAGGTGAGTCTGATTAACTTAGACTGTTCCTTATGCTTGCCTCCTTTTCTGCCTTTTTTTTCCCTAGCATACAATATTCATACATACTTAAAATGATGAGGTTTCCTAGGTTTTGCTCTTAGCACCTCAGAAACAGTTGCTCTGGGGTAGCAGAGAAAAATGGATCTTCTGTTTTCAAGGCAAGCAGAATGGAGCAGACTTTTCTTCACAGCCCAGTTTGGTGGCCTGCACCTTGTATTCCTGTTTAAACCCAACATACATTTACTAATAGGTTTGGATTTCCTTTGTTTTCATATATAAATGTATTACCAAATGTAGCCCTGAGAATTATGTACAAATATGTACAAACATGATTTCCTGCAAATAATAAATTATATAAACAAAAGCAAACCATAGGCTTGCAAAGAAGAAGGGAAGCTGATTGGCTCCTGCCTGTTTCTAGGTTGGCTGTCTGATTTACAGCGGTGAGCATCAGGACAGAGCTTCATTCTTACACTCAGCTGTGTGCTGAGCCTCCAGAGGAAACAAGATTAGAGTAGCTCATCTTAAGCAACTGCCTCTCCTCTGTCCCCTGCGCAGTATGGTGCCGTTATCCAGATGGAATTGTTTGCATCTGAACAGGAGGTCATTTGGAGTGTTCTCCATTCAAATTATTCAATGATGCTGATTAAAGTGTAAACCCAATCCATCCACTGCTTTTCTTCTCTGTGATTTACACCCTGGTCCAGGCTGTCACTTGTTTCCTGGACCACTCCAGCAAACTCAGTGGTTGTTTTTAGCTTCTCTATTACTTCCCCAGGTGACGCATCTTCTCATACGTGTATATGAGGAGCTCAATCAATACAACACCTTGGCTATAAACTTTTCAGGGGTTTCATATTGTCCTTGAAAGCAAATCCAGATCTCTCCGTTGTGGCCTCAGAGGTGACACGAGGTGAGCAGACATTCCCTCCTCTGCCTCCTGCCCTGGCCCTGTGTTATCACCCAGCACTCACTGTTCACGCTGCTCCACCTGCCTGAGAACCTTTGAGCACAGTGTGCACGCACTCAGGATTCTTCTCCTCGACCTTGGTCCCTGCCAATCTGTTCTTGGGGGATGTCTTCTCAGATGCCCACTCTAAGTCCTTCCATCCCAGACCTGCTCATCCTTCAACACATTTTGCTCCATTTTATGGAATTTCATAGAACCTGTCCCCACCTAGAGTCAACTTACTCATAACTTATGCATATTTTTTATTGTCAATCTCTCCCGAATAGACCACAAGGTTTATGAGACCAGTGAAGCAATCTGCACGTTTACTGCAGGATCCCCTCAGCACCTAACTGAAACCAGTAGTTTCCTAATAAATAGTCATCTCGTGGATTTATGGATGGGATAAACTGATCTGAGGTCCAGTTTCAGGAACTGTTAAATGGAGATAACACCTACCCCACAGAGCTCCTAAAGGAATTAAATGGAACAGCATAATTGATCATACATTTGAGAGTTCATTTCCCAGTGCCTCACAGATAACATTCACTAACCATAACTACTAACGTTATGTTGTTAATATTAATGAGCAGTAAACAAAGACTTTTAAACTAGTTACTGGTCTCCAATTTCCCAGTATTTCAACCATTGTCTTTATATATAAGTCAGCAGGATTTTTAAAACGAAAGATAATAAAAATATAAAGCTGATAAATAATACAGCCCTACTTATATTGCTTGGGGTGAGACTGGCAGGTTTTAGCAATTTAGCATCATTCACTCTGGCATAATCTCATGAGCCAAGCTATCTTTACGACATGTCCATAACTGTGACTCACTCCAGGAAGGGAGTTACAAAACACTGCAAGAGTGATTTCAGTTTTCATGGAACTTTTTCCTGTCACCAAGTAAAATGCCTTCCTAGAACTGTAACTGCTGCCTTCCTCTGATGATCCTGCTCTGTCCTGGTGTTAGAACTGTAGTTTCTACCTTCCTCTGATGCTTCTGCTCTGTCCTGGTGTGTGACTATTTCCCTCTTTCTTGATTTTTACACAATCACCCTTGGTTTTTCTTATATTTGTTACAGTTTTCTGTGTCAGTGACTACATTGGTCAGAGGATGTATACACACACACACTGGCTTAAAGTCTTGGTTTGGTTAACTCTTTCAGTGTGAAAGAAATAGAGATTTTAAGACCATTTTCATCTATGAGAAGGTATACACTCTTTAGAAAGAAAAGTTCAAAGTGACTCGAATCCAAACGAATCCTTATATGCTAATTAGGAAATCCAAGTTTCTAGTTATTAATTAAATTTTTTAATATAAATATACGAAGGTTAAAAATGCATATGTTAGGAAAGAAGATTATATTTTATTTTGCTTTTCTTTGCTTTTCTTTTCTTTTTTTTAGATTTCAGCTCTGTGGGTACCGTGTCACACCTATATTTCAATACAATAAGTGCCAGAACAAAACTGATAGAATGAGAGAAAAACCTGACATGCTAATTATATAAATGATCCACAAAGACACCAATATATCCTGTTTGGTTTCTGCCAAGGAGTTCCCAGGCATTTCTGAAGACACTAATGATGGACCTTCAGGAAACTAAAGACCACCTCCTTCCTCTAACTTACAAACATTTACTTCTCTAACAGCCAGAAAACCGCACGAATGCGGTTATTTGTTATTTATCCTTCCTTCTCATGTAACATTTAAACCCCAAGACTAAAGACAATTACTTGATCAACTCTTAACCAATCAATGCTTTTATCAGAGCCTGACAATAGACACCAGACAATCCTGTCTCTTGATGGAATAGGGAGGTGAAAAGATGAGGAAAAGACCCGTGTTTGACTCACAAAATAGTCCACCCATTGTTTAATATACTAAATTAGAAATATAAATCAAAGACAAGAGCTTATCAACTATCCAAAGCACTTTCTCAGGGAGCCATGGTTTCTTCTAAGTCATACCTGGTCATCCAAGGGCAGCTCGCAGAAGGCAGGGATGTACTTGGCCCATTCCACCAAGACCAGGAGCTGCTGCTTCATAGACTCACAGACATCACTGATGCTTGCAATTCTCTTCAGGTTTATGTCAGCAGTTGCACTGGGGCTTGGGGCTGAGATCTAAGGTTAACAGAACATTGCATTTAATCATCATTGAAACTACTGGATAGCCAGTTAACCTTCTCCTCCTATATTTATAAAGTAAAAAGCACAGATACAAAACCTATCATTATCATAGTGCTTTTATATATATATTAAACATCTTTAATTTGAAAAATAAAATCTTCCTTGGGTTAAAGTTAAATTGAAATATGTATATATAAATCCATACTCTAAGAGCATAATTTTATTTTAAATACTACATCTATAAACCAGGTAAGGCTTTTTCAGAATTTTGTAGTTCAGCCTAGTTATTTAAAGAAATTAATAGTAACCACAAGAAAAAATACCCTGATTTTATTTTTAATTAAAATTCACATTCTCATTAAGTCCTTTTTTAATTTGTATGAAAATAGCTAGTGAATAAAATTTATAAAATGTGGGAAATATTTAGGAAAGAAACTAGAAATATTTATGACACTACATTAAATATAAGGCCATAAAAGTAATATTAAGAAACAACCCTTTGACTAGGCAATGGTGAAATGCTTGACACATAATGATAATCATTTTTAAATTGCAAATGACTTTCAACTGTATGAAAATACAAATGATACTTTAAAATGCTGTCTCATAAAAAGGCAACCTACCTAATCAAAGTTTTGTAAAATTAATATTAACCATAGGTTTACACGTGTACGTGTGTGTACATAAGCGTGTATTTGTCATGTGCACTCAGATGTTTCCTCACCGTTCCCCTTTAAGTCATTTTCTAAATGCTTTATTGGATCATCAAGTAATCTGCAAGTAATAGCGATGATAATGGGATGTCAGCCTCATCATATTACCCCAGTGTTATCAAGAATGAAAGTAGACTCACTGCCTCCTTACAGGGCCTGATTAACTACTTAGCTATTTCATAATTTGCTTTGTCATGGACAAACACCTTGAACATTTCCAATAAAGACAATGATAAAATATACTCTCTTTTACATATAAAAACCAATCATTTAGGACAGACCCCTAAATGATTGGTTTTTATATGTAAAATGGGTGACTTACCACTTTAACTTTACACCTGATATTCTTATTCTAAAATCTGAAAATAATGATTTACTTTCTTCCCCATTTTGAGAATTCTACCTTTAATTCTCATAAAAACACCTCTTCCTTACGGAGGTAGTGAATTGACATTTTGAGTTCAAACATAAATTTTAAGGGAAGAAGTTCTGATGGCAAAGTCCTTCAAAATTAGAGCAGTTCAACTAGACTAAAATATTGTCACTAGAGCATTGTGTTTTATTTTTACTCAGCCTCATAAATAAAGAGTCAAACAATTTAAAGATAGGGTCTTGCTCAACAAAATTCAAAACTAAGTCAACAATTCTACTGTGTTCAAAGTGATGTGTCTGAGCCTGTCTAGGTTAACTTTAGCACTGAGCCCAAAACAGTGAGCTCAGATTACAACACTTTGCATCAGCAGACTTTAGATTCTATTGAACAGAGCCAATGCTGAGGTGTGGTGGGTACCTGGCGAGACCGAACTTCAGCTTGTGCCAGAGTGTTTATGGAAGGGATGTTGCTGCCATCAAATGTACTTCTTCTGGTACTTATTCTGTCGCGTTCATTTTGCACAGCTAATGAAAAAAAATTACAGATGCTATTAGTTAGATCTCTAATATGGGCTAGGATGTACAGCTAGGAATAAGGAAAATTACAGAAGTTCAGACATGGTCTTTCAAAAGGCAAAATGTAAAAGGTAAGACTGCCTTTTTTTTTTTCCTTCTGAACTACTTTCAAAAGTAGGAATAGGCAAATTTGTCACCAGCACTCATAAAATAGAGTTGCTTGGACTTCATGATGGATTGTATGGTTGCGAACTTTTGGGTCACTCACTTTTGAAATGCTGTGTTTTTAATAAGATGGCTTCTTATTCTCTCCCAGTTAAAACTGTAAGGTAGCTAGAGAAGGAACATCGCCTGCCAGGTTGGCCAGGTCAAATATAAGTCACTGTCAGAAGTGAGTGAGTCATACTTTCTGAAACTCCTATTTCTTTTAACCATAAAACACCTACCATAATGGAGAGTAAATTTATTTTAGTTAAGATGGCTTAAGCAAATCTGTGACCTTTTATAAAGGAATGTTTACAGATATTCACTTCAGAAATCATTGCACAATTTGAGGTATCCCTCTAGAAGACAGAGACCTGAATACCTGCTTCTCAGAAATATTAAATCATCCCTTACATCATATAAAATGGTCTGAGAGAAGTAGTCCTGTTTCTGTGATTCATAGAGAAAAGAACAAATATGCACATGTCCAAAACTATTACTGAAAACTGAATTTTTAAGCATAAGGGGAAAAAAGGAAGCATAACCCCATAAATTTGCATAAATACTCAAATAAAAATGTCAGATATCAAAGTTAAATTTCAAAAATAAGGACATAAAATGAACTTCCATTAACCAAAGACAAAAGAAAAAAAAAGACCTATTGTCCCTCAATTATTTAGGTCAATAAATTCTCTAATTAATTTTGTTAGAAATATGTTGATATTGGCTGGGCAATGGTGGTGCACATCTTTAATCTCAGCACTCGGGAGGCAGAGACAGGTGGATCTCTGTGAGTTCAAGTCCAGCCTGGCCTACAGAGCAAGTTCTAGGACAAACTCCAAAGATACACAAAGAAATCTTGTCTCGAAAAACCAAAACCAAAAAAACAGAAAGGAAGGAAGGAAGGAAGGAAAGAAGGAAGGAAGGAAGGAAGGAAGGAAGAAAGAAAAGGTGATGATATCAAACCACCAAAGTTTTTTCCAACAAAAAAATTCAACAATTTTTACATCAATGTCACAGAGACCTAAAAGTAGCACCTAATGATTCTGTTAAGTTAGCAGACAAAAATGATGGGCTTTTGTCTAAAAGAGACATCATTATGGTAGATCAAATATTTAACATTTTACATTAAAAATCACAGTTACTAATAGCTCATTTTTTAAAATTATTTTCCATTTATGTGAAAATACACATAAGACATGAAAACTAAGACATCCCTCTGCTTTTCTAAATTTCATTCATATGATCAAACTTTAAAAATGCTGAAATATAAACATTTACAAAATATTTACTGCTCTCAAGTTTTACATGAATCCACATTTCTGTTTCCCCTTAATTAATTTGATATGTTTTTTTTCTGTTTATTGAAACTCAAAAGTTACTTTTTAATCTATTTATTAAAATCAAAACACATCATTTTGTGAACATTAAAAGATGTAATTTCACTATTTTCAAAGGTAATTTTATTTCATAAATTGTAAGACTCAAAAGGGAAATGTAGGCTTGGTATTGTTTATAATTTATAAGGTAAAGATTGGTAGGAGGTAATAAGTCAAAAATTTATTTTATAAATTGTGCAATTATTTATTTGAACTACCTAATGTAGCTCTTAGGACATTAGCTATGTCACTTGTTAAAGGAGAAATTGCCTCTTTAATTTAGTGAACTTTACTTTTGTAATATTCTTTTAAGTTTAGCAACATAATAACAGCTAACAAAATTTCCATAATTTTAAATTATTGTGTTAAGAGAAAAAGAGCTATGTCTGAGATGGATTCCTTATTTTTCTTACTTCTACAGCATCATGATTAAATTTAACTTTATTTTTTAAGTTTGTAATACACTTGTGGAAAACAGCTCTTTGCATGTGACAGACAGACACACTCGATAAACTATAGGCAAAAACTCTTACAGCTGCTAAGTCTACCAGATGTTGGGGATGTGTAACACTCTCATTTCTAATCATATCAGAATTGAAAAGATAGAATGAGATGACTTAACCTGATGAAAATAAAACAACACATATTAAAACCATATCTGCACTGCTTCTGCTATTGAATAGAACGTAAAATTTTCAAGATGGAGGATTATTTTGTCTATCAAGTTCAAAATTCAAATCTCAGTACCTGGAACAGTATTTGGGAAACAGCAATCTCCACAGATATTTTTAAATGGAGGAATGTATAAAAAGATGTAGGTGATGTTCATGAGATAAGTAAATATACCCAGTTGTTACTAAGAATGAAAACTGTGTATGCCATACATCCATAGCTTTAGTCTTCAGATTTTAAGATCCATAGATTTGCCTATGTAGCGAGTGGTGTCAGAAATAGAGCAGATAAACACTAGCTCTACCACTTACTGCACTACCGGCTAAATTCTTTACCTCGAGGAACTCTGACAGATTCCCCATTATTATATTGAGGGAAATCAGAGCCTATAAGTAGGTGATGTGATTATTGAGAATTCTTACACATTGTTATCAATTTTCACCAATAATGTTAATTATCATGATTGTCATCATTATCGTTATTATTACCTTCTTTCTTCATTCCTGCTCTAAAACACTTTCGTAATCGACAGTATCTGCATTGATTCCTTTTATCCTTGTCAACAACACATTGGCGGCTGAACCTGTAGCAGGAAGCACACATTAGCTCACAGAAAACCACCATTTATCAAAGAAATCACATCTGCAAACAGTGAGACTTTAAGTAAGTACAGGCAAATCAGGCTCACTATAAAGCATGTAGAAAAGTAATTCTCTAAGGATTGAATGTATCATGGTCAGCACATACATGATAACACACAGCTCACCTCTTAAACAGTCTTCATACTAACATAAAACTGAATGACTACATCATTTTGGGCTGGTGTACATAATTATGAGTCACAAAAGTCAAACCCAGCTTTAAAATCTTTGTCGTATAAATTTTTGGTGTTTATTGCTAAACAATTTCAGAACAGTGGACAATGTGTAGTGATTCAGAGCTTTTACAGTTATGTTTTTTTTTCTCTTTAAATGCTTTTATTCTATGTGTTTTAAATGACTTCAAGTAAGAACTGCACTGAGAATACATTCATAATGTATTCTTAATAATTCTTAATGATGTATCAGTTTATTCTCTGTTAAAAACCCAGGGAAGGAGGTGGTACATTAGTAGATGAAGATGTAAAATAAAATATTGAAACCTTTAGACACTGTGGGATAGAATATTAAATGCTTCTGCTGCTTTGGAGGAATGCTTAGTGGTCTTTCAAAAAGATAAATAAAGGGCTACACATAAGACACAGCAATTCCGGGCTATGTACATAACCCCCTCCCCCCAAAAAATGGGAAAAAAATCTATGTCTAGCGTAGCTTTTTTTGTGTATTTTTTTCAAGGCAGGATTTTCTATGTAGCTTTGGAGTCTGTCCTGGAACTTATTCTGTAGACCAGGCTGGCCTCAAACTCATAGAGATCTGCCTGCCTCTGCCTCCTGAGTGCTGGGATTAAAGGCATGTACCACCATGCCTAGAAAGTAACACTTTTAGTGAGGAAAATGTTAGAGTTCTGAACAGATAAAAATCCCAGACAATGGAACAGTAGTATCTGTTAGTAAGAATGAAGCACCAAGAGACATGCTATACTGTTGATGAACCTTGAAAACACATCCAATAAAGGTGACACCAAATGCCCATAGTGCATGGTTGACTAATGTGGTGTCCAAAGAGGACAAATCTATAGAAACAGAAAGCAGAGAAACAGTTTCCTCACATTGCCATAGAGTTGATGAAACTGGAGGATACTCTAATAGGGACTTCTTAAGAGCATACTTAAATGCTGCTCTTGATTGATGATAGCAGTAGTCACACAATTCTGTCTATGCTAAACTCTAAATTCCTGGTTACATGTGATGTTGTTGCCTCATTTCTTACAGATGATTAGTAAATGATGAGGAAAGCAAAATGTGTTTTGTGACCTATTGAAAGGTGTGGGCAGCAAAAACCAAAAATTTGTGGGCAACAATTCAATATTGAATAAGAATAAGGCTACAAGTAAACTGTGCTCTCAGAGTAAGGAAAGACGAGGCACTTTTAACATATATATATATATATATATATATGGATGAAGAGTCTCAAAGGAGGAAATCAAATGATCAAAAACCATAAGGAGAATACATTTAGTGAACATTAATTAAACAACAAGAACAACAAAAGAAACATATGTTACTAAGCTCTTAACATGTTCAAGATATTGATGTATGTACATAATATACGAATGCTGCCTAAATTTTCCATCAAAAGAAATTGAAGTGTAACAAGGACATAGAAATATTAACAAATGTTATAGAAAACATTCTATGTACAGTATTGAAGTAGAAGATTTGTGTACTTTAGAAGGAAAAGGCCAGCTTCAGCATCACAGGACTGTTAAAGCCAAATTAAAATTTATCAATCTAAGAAATGGGATGCATTTGAGGCAAGCAAACTTTACTAAAAAGACATTATAGTGTCTTAATTTGCATCCATATAATAACAATTTAAAAAGAGATCACAGAGCTTGCTTGATAACAAAGCTGTAAAGGTGCTTAGCCGGCTGACAGCACACATGGTGAGAAGGGACAAAAGTTCCACCTGCCCCTACTCCTCAGAAACTTTCCTGGGAGCTATTTTTCCCTACTCGCCCCATATAGGAAATATGCGAGTCATCAGATTCCACTGTCAGAACCATCCCTTTTCATGGAGATGTGTTTTACTTTTAATGGAGCACATGACTCCAAACCATGGAACTTCTATGCTGTTTTGTTCCTTAGATGCTAATGTGAAGAACTCTATGTGTGTCAGGTAACCATAGTGAAGATGTGTTTGGTAGAGGAGATGATTCGTGCTTAGCTATGAAATGCCCATGTGTACAAACACAATACCATCTAAATGTTCTTTTCTTGGTCAGATTTCAAAAGTGGATGATTTGTATTTTTATAAACTTACATCAAACTCCCCTGCAAATATTACACGACAACACCAGGTGAATATTAGTGGAGTTATGTATTATCTTTTATTATAGCTTGAAAAGTCAAATGCTACCAGACTGGTAATTCTCAAATGCCCAACTTATTTTTAGAACAGCATTGCAGAACTGGAGAAGTAGACAACTTGGCTAGCATGTGGAGGGACCCAAATTTAATCTCTATTCCAACCAAACAGTAACAATGACAATAAGTGATAATGTCTAATACTGAGAGAACAAAAACGTACTTTTTTATTTATTTTTTTCTAGTTCCTTCAATGTTAAAATAGTTTTCTTATGTTAAAATCAGTGAGTTTTGTCAAAAGCTCAAGTTCAACCTAAACAATATTCGAGATTTTTTATAGAAATCATTCAGGATAAATACTTAAACTGGTCTATGATATTGACTGGGTAATAGCAAAAAGACTAGTCGGAATGTATGGACATACCAAGTAATTAAGTAAGATTTAGGCAAAACACTGTCAATTATGAAAAATTTAACATGAAAAGTAGTTTGAAGCAAAAAATCAAATTTCACCCTTTGAGTTGTAATTACAAAATCATCTTTAATTTAATAATTTTGTTCTTACAGATCGAGGATGTATTGAACCTGAAAGAAAAATTAAAAAATGAATCTACACACCTTAAGACACTTCTTAAGCAGGTTTAAAAACTCTTTAGTGGCATATGAACATGTGATAAAACAATAAAGAGACACAAAGGAAAAGATTAGCACTAAATTCTCGATGGTAGTTGTCCCTGTAACACTGAAGAGAATGACAAAATGGCCAGGGAGGTGTCCACTGGAGGCTTCAACTATATTGCTCTAAACTGGGTGGTAGGTATATGAATGTCTTTATACACATTTACAGGTTTCAAATTGTTCATAGCATGGAACTACCAGTGTGGACGTGAACTGCACATACAGTCACACTCTCTTTGAAGCTTGGCAGTTTTGTTCAGAGCTACGGAGACATGGAAGAGCTCAATTTACTTTTCTGACACCCTCATGGCATCTTTAGACACTAATGAAGAAAACTTTGCCAAAAACGAGCGCTCCAATACCTGCAGGAATAAACGTGACTTTTCCGAATGCTGCGCCTGAAAAACCCCTTGCAGCCGTCACAGCTGGATGCCCCGTAATGCTTTCCTGTTGCTCTGTCCCCGCAGATGGCACACAGACAGTTGATACCACTGTCGTTGGTATTCATACTTGTGGTTTCTGGGGCAGAACTGTCTGTTGAAGTAAGATGAGAAGAGTTAGTGCAGTTGGCAACAGCACAGTGCCCTATTGCTTACTTGGAAGTCAGGCTTTGCCTGACATGCTTAAAGTGCTGCAAGCCTCTTTCTCAGGCTTCTGTCTCACACTTCTGTTCATTGAATTTTGGGTTACAATCAGGCTCAATCCCCTAACTACCACCTTTCTCAAAGGAAGCTCATGCAATCTCATGACATCCAAGATCAACTGTATGAAAGAAAACTCCTCAGATCTTATTTATGCCCTGATATATCATAGATAACACCACAGAAGACAGTAGTAAAGACTTAAGAATCTATACCAAAGTTTCCTTTTGAAACCTAGCAAGCATAATAATTGAAAAGAGAACTTGGATTTCCAACCCCCTACTAAATGAGTCTCTGCCTCATTCATTCCTCTTCATAAATACCCACAGTTCCACCACACAGATAAAGCACTAGGTGCCTTTGGGAATTCTGATCACCACTTACTTACTGGGATCCCATATTTAAGATAATTATTTATTCCATTTTTCTCCTTCAACGTAGTCTCCTTTTATCCAGTACCATCATCCTTCCCAAGTGTTATTAGAATTGATTTCTAAGTATTTTACTTAGTAACATCTGAAAGGATGATGTTCTCTTTATTTTGCAACAGTCACTTCCTGTAACCTCTGTTCATCCATTACCGCTATGACTTCTCATTACAAAGCAGAAAGCCAAATATTGCACAATGACCCAAAATGACCTGCACACTGAAGTCCCCTACTCCGGCCCTGTTTGACTTCTTCCCACTGTCTTTCACAGCTTCCATTCTGTGCCCTGCTCTACATTCCTGTTACTTTTATGTTCTTTGAATCCTGATTTCATCCACTGTACTGATAATAGTTTCCTGGACTTTTCCAAGCCTGGATGTAAGCTAAGTTTAAGGGGTCTGATTACGTCCCCCATTTAGCATGAATCTTCCTTACTAAATCAAATTGAGCTCCCATCTGTCTTTCAAGAAGAGCCTAGAGTTCCACAAACTACTATTATTTTAAGTTACATTATCATTGGGTTGGCTCATGTCCATTGTTACACAGAACACCAACATCATGATGCCAGAGAACTCATCCGGTTCACTCATCCTACTCTTCCCACCTCCTAGAACTGTGTATAGCTAGAGTGCAACATTGAACAGTTTGAAGAGAAAAGACTATATATATATATATATATATATATATATATATATATATATATTATAGTGTGTGTCATATATAAATACTCTTTAATGAATTTGTATTGTTGAAAATATTTAATGAACTCCAATGAACCCAAAGACATTGAAATATATAAGGTACTACAGTAAAGCTTGAATTTGATTGACTGGGGATATAGCTCAATGACAAAGCAATTGCCTAGTAATCTAGTAATCACAAAAACATAGATTCAACCTTAAAATATTAATTAAAAATAAACTGAATACATAATTTAGGTATAATAATAAGCAATTACTCTATCACTAAATTTAAATGTTGGCAAATACTAATTACATACATTATGTAATACTATTCATATTCTACTTAAGAATACACAATGTTTTTGAATAGATAAATGTTGTGATATGCAATTTCATAAAGGTAAAAGGAAATTTTATAAAAATATACTGAAAATTAATCATGTGACATCACAAAATGTAGAATATAAATATTAGAACTTTTTTATAACATTAATAAGATATTAGCAATACTTTATTGTCTGAAATCACAGTGAGTTATTATACAGAAAGTGAGAGGCCTTAGGCTATTATTCATTCCTGAATGGAATGTGTCCATCAAATACCTCCTCTCAGAGCTCAGGGAATCTCTCAGAAGTGAAGGTGGAAGGAGTGTACGAGCCAGAGAGAATGCAGGATGTCAGGAAAACAGATCACTCTGAATCAAGTAAGCCAGGCTCATATGAACTTACAGAGGCTGAGTCAGCACACACAGGGCCTTCACAGATCAACACTTCGTCCATAAATAGTATGCCTTCCACTTTAGTGTTTTATGGCATTCCTGAGTGTACAAATAAGTGTATCTCTGAATCATGTGTCTTAGGCTCCTTTCCTTTTGTTGGTTTGCCTTACCCAACTTCAATATGATCGTTTTGTTTCATCTTATTATGTTTTATTTTGTTATATTTTAAAAAAAATAAATGCGAACTTGTCACTAGTGTAAAGGTTAACAACTGAGCTGGGAGAGGGGACATCAGGTTTCTCCACTAGAGGGGAGGTCTATCAGGTATGTCAAGCACTCGAGGGAAGGCTTCATGTTCAAGAGCAGCTGACCTATATGAGGGACTCTCCTGGTTTTTGTGTGCTTTCATTTGGTTAGAGTCTGCTGGGTTTGTCATTGTCATATTGTATTGTTTTTTTTTCCAGGTGCTGTTTTGATTTGGTTTCTTGGTTTTGAGGATTTTATTGTTATATTGGGTTTTTGTTCTTTGAGAAAGAATTTAAAGTTAGGTGGGTAGGGAGGAGAGTAGGTTTGGACAGATTTGAGAGAGGGAAGAATATCATGAAAACATAGATAAATTTAAAAATTACTTTAAATAATAAAAAATATTTTAAAAAGAAGTATCTGAAATCATCTGTACTCTTGGATCACATTGAAATATTAAACACAAATTTAACTCTGGCTTCAAGTTTAACACAATATTTACATGCAGTTGGCAATGTTGCTACAAACAAATTAGACACTAATGTAGAAGTAGTTATGAATATGAATTATTTTATATAAGCTGATAAATGCTATATATATATATACATACATACATACATACAGAGAGAGAGAGAGAGAACATCTATACCTACTACTTGCAAATCTGTGGTCTGTTATTTAAAACTCTGATTCTACTTTAATAGATAGTTAACTGACTGTCTTTTATCAAAACTGTACATTTCTAAGAATTAAACTACAGCTTCACTGTGTATTTGTGTTAAATTACAGAATTGGGTTTTTCAATTTTTAAACATCTCCCCACTATAAAGTTCTCGCGTATTGAAAATGTAAGTGAAGTTGACAGTTCCGTAGACTATTAAGGTAATCATAAGATGATTCCTAAGCCCTGAGCTATACAAGCATACACAGAGACACACAGACACAAACACAAGTACACACATCTCTCATAACATACAAAATTGTAAGGTCTAGCAGTTCCAACCTATTTGGGCAAGCGTTCTCCTTAGGAAAAGCAATACATGCAGAGTGACTAGTAAAAGGTATTACATAAAGACCCGACCCCAAACAATCCATGTCGCATTTAAAGTTAAAATGTTACTGTAGATAAATGCCAAGAGCTCTGCGAAGCTAAATATTAGCCTGCCACCTGGGGTTATAATATAAACCTTTATTTCTTTTCTATCTGTGGCCAGAGAAGCAACTGCACAGTCACTTTAAGTGTAGTTTCTCATCACCATCCGTGGAGTACTGAAATGATGAGAGGAATGGTGACCCAGTAAACTCCCCAGCATACTATGTAAAGATGCCCATAAGCCACTTTGAACACTGCATAGAAAATGTACTCCCAAGGCCAATCTGCCAAAATTACTTATTACTATGACGGACAACAAATAAAATAGCCCTCGAAACTATGCTTCTTACCCCAACTGGCCTATACAGAGTTCTGAGGTAACTCTATAACACAAATACAAGCTGTTCTACCTCTCGTAGTACACAGCTACGACAACATGATCTGAAATTGTGTGATGCTGCACAAAGCCTCAGGTTTGTACCCTTAAAACCATCTCTTGAATTCCCCAGCAATGAAGCTAAGCCAGCCCCCTCAAGGAGCGCCACTTCCTTCTTCTCTGGGGCTGGTTTCTCTTCCATATGAGTGCACAAACTCACCATTGGAATTATACAGAATCTGCATAGTGTCAAACTCCAAAGCTGTGTAAGTTGGATCCAAAACTTCGCTGTAGTTTCCCATGTCCATGTCCAGCATCGGCTCTGACACCCTCATCATCGGCTGAGAGACGCACATACAAATGGCTCCACAAGCCCAGAGTGTGGCGACTGGTAGGCTTTCGGGCCGGGAGTGCAAACCGGAGCTAAGTGTCAATGGGTGACTTCAGTGCTTCTGTGGGAGGGGCTGTCAAACTGTAACTCCTCCAGCAGGCCATATTCTGCTCATTTTTCTTTTATGGCATACGAGAGCAATTCCTTGTGATAATCTTGGAATGCTTCGTGGAATTGCCTCATTGAAGTGCTTAGCAGACTAACATGATTTTCTAAATGGACTTCCAGGACCCAGTAAATGACATCACTTAAAGAGGGGTTAAACACAGACAGGAATCCCTGTCAGGCTTTAGTCGCTGTCAGGTTTTTGTCAGGGATGGTAGCCTACATGAGGAGCTTCAACGCACAGACCACACATTTTGAGAAGTCAAACTCACCTTCCCTTTACAATTAGGTAAGTGAACACTGAAACCTGTCACTTAACTCACTGAACACTTAACAGGGTCAGGTTTCCTTTATATGCACAATAAAACCGACTTTGTTTATTTTGGAGTAGAACAGATTCACAGTTTGTACGGTCAGGATTTATGATGTGTTCTAGCAGCGTAAAGACAATGTCTCTATGTGAGCTAGCTGCGCAGTATCCTCCCAACCTATCAGTTTACCGTCTGTGTCACGCCACAGTTGGGAATTTCTGGAGGGCAGACCCAAGAAAGTGGCCAGTACGCTGCAATCCAGTGATGATAATAAGGAGGCATTTATTTTGACTTTATCTATTTACATCTGAAGCATTAACCAAATGAAGCTATTCCTAGTGTATCTGATTAACTTCAACATACATGACAGACACAACACGGTTTTTCTTTTATATGTTATTGTAGCAAGAAGCGTTCTGAGTTCAGGAAATACTTAGTATATTGAGTATCAATATTTTACTGCTGAATATATGTTTACTGATCTTATTTTTTTTAAAGAATGCTATACCTACTTTTTCATGATTCTTTTAATTTTGAATATTTAT